TCAGGGAGGGGTTCAGGTAAGCACCTAAAAGCAAACACCACAGACAGGCAGGTGAAAGTAATTAAAACTTTAAACAAGACTCACTTGACAGGTTTAACAAAAACAGGCAGGGAGAGCAAACAAAAGACTGAAGGCCCAAGAAGAAGAAATCCCAACTATAAGTCCATATCGAAAGTCACTAATCTGCAATAAAATAAAAAAAAATCCAACACCAAAAACACAAACCTGATGAAGACTAGGAACAAATAGAGCACAGAGCAAAGGTCAGGCTAGAACACAGAACGTAGGTAAGAGGAGACAAAGTAGGCAGGTATCTGGAAGGAAAAGCAGGAGGCAAGGCAGCACAAACTAACAAAAACGAGGAAATTATACACTGAGAACTAACTGAGGAGACAAGCTGCAGATGAGACTACTAAGGGCAATCAAAAGAGGGAAACATACGAAGGGAGGAAAGTAAAAACACACAAAAAATAAATCAGGAAATAAACTAAAACCCACAGACCATGTCACATTTCTTAATTAACAACAAGCACCAAGTATTGCTGAGGCCAAAGGGGTTTTAAGTGTTGTAGGTATTTGATCATTAAAAAAAAACAAATTATTGGACAAAAAAATACTCGAAAGAAGAAGTGTAGTAGTTGCTGAAGCTTTTTACTTAAACTAACACAAAAACACCTCATGGTGGTGCTAGAGGAAAAGTCTGGTGCCGACTTAAGTAATTAGGGGGTATTGTACAATTAAGTCTGCACCAAGTTTCGGGGCAATCAGCAAAAAGGTTTTTAAAATATTACAACATGGGCCAAAGTGGTAGGCCTACTGACAGGTCGGCACAGAGGTGTCCTGCTTTTGTCAGATTTTGATGAAGTGTCCAATGAATTCATTCATATTTACAGTAAACTGTGATCTCTGCTGGCAGTCAGGGGAAGAAGATTCGACATTTGAGTTCATTTTCCAGCCATCCTGTCCGTTTGAAAGTAGTTTACCTGTTTGGATACCGAGTGTTGCTCAGAGGATACACTTAGCTTTCAGTCTTAGTAAACGTTCAGCTTTGAGTCCACACCTCTCTGTCTTCCTCCCTCCCATCTCTCTCTCTCTCTCTCTCTCTCTCTCTCTCTCTCTCTCTCTCTCTGCATGTCCGCCTGAGCAACAGAGCAAAGAAAACAAACCTGTTAGTCTGGCTGCAACCAGGAAACCAATCAAAAGGGTGAACCAAGGCGAAAGAGAGGGTGATCTCACGAGAGACAAAGAAGAAGCAGCAATGTTTCAGACAATGACAGAAAACATGTTTCCGCTGTGCTGAGAAAAGAGCATCAGCTCTGAGAATGTAGGACTGGACTAGTTGGTAAGCAGAACATAGTGTTTAACTGGGGGCAAAGTTATCAGGGTGGTGAGAAGTGAGCAGAGAAGTGAGTGGGATGGCAAAAGTGTGAACCGTTTTAAAGATTGTGTCAGAGTCAGACCTTCATTTCCTTTGTTTTAAGTGTTTTCTTGGTCTCTTCTGTTCAATTGTTTCCTTTGTGGAAATGTTTTAAAAATAGACTTTGTAACAGCCTTTTTCTTTTCTGCCTTTTTCTGAAGATCTGACACAAGACAGTGGCTTGTGGCGCTCGGCATCTTCGTATGATGCAAATGTGAATTTCACATGTTATCCAATGGCTGGATGATATAATGCTGTTGGACTGTTATTATGTGACCCAACAGTGGAAACTGTTTCAGGAGGATAACATGTGTTATTTTGAGATTAAGCAGAGGACTCACAAACGTCACTTAAGGACAGCAGATGTAAGTGTGAACAGTCGAAAATTTGAGCCACTGACAGTAGCTGCTCCCAATTTCTGCTTATGAACAAACCCAGATATTCAAAAACTGAGCTGTCACACCTCTTGACACAGCAGAAACTTGTGTTTTTTATCGTCACACCCACACACGTACTCAGACTGACATTTACAGTAGTTTTTGGTTCACTTCCCTTTCAAACACACAACATTGAAATGATGGCGGCAGCAGGTTTAGGAGTCTCCAAGAGCCCCAAACTGAGCTCCCAGCCTCCTACCGGTGGAGACCGGAGGCTGGTGGAAAAGACCCTCAAAAGACTGGATAAGCTCCATGAGCTGTGCGCTAACCCCCGGTTAGGCCTCAGGAACAGTCCCCCTTACCTGCCAGAGATAATATCTGAGACCTCGTCGCTGCTTACGCTGGTTTGGGAGCCCTACCAAGGCACTAAGGCGGGAGGCGGCAAGGTGCCCGGCGAAGACGAGGTCAAGTACTTGAGGGTCCACGTCAAGAACCTGCTGGATAAGACGGACAGGGCTGTCCTGCTGTTCAAGGAGGGACGGGAGAAAATATTTGAGGAGACATCAAGCTACAGGTAAGAGGCCCATGCTGACATGTACGTACACAAACACAAGTGAGCACGTGTTATAGAGGCAGTTTGGTTTGAAACAATGAATCACGTTGACACGTGCAGAGCTATGGTTTCTGTTCTTCAAGTGTTTCATTCTTACTGATTTTACATTTTCAAAAAGTTGAGAAGTCCTGCATTTATTCTTACAGTAATTCTGCATTTTGTCCTTTGTCTTTACGATAACAACATGCTGTCACTGCTTAATTATTTGGATTATCATAGAGAACATGTTTCACAATCCCTTCATTCTTTTTAGCTGCTTTTCACTAAAAGGGCTGGATCCAGTTTCATTAATGGGATTTTTTTCTTCTTCTCTCAGTCAGGACGAATTCTGTGAGTTTTGAACTGTTGGTTGGTTAGTTGTAGACATCACGTCGGACATTCCAGACATATAATAGGCTTTTTTAAAAAATGTTTTGGACACTTCATCAACTAAATGAATATATAATATAATTCTTATATTAGGAAAACAATTATTCCTAGCAGCCTGAAAATCACTTCTTTTTTTTTCACAAAGGTTGAATTGGTTTGGATATTTCTGCCACCACCCTACTGCAACAAATGGCTTTGAAAGGAATTTTATATTTGCATGATTATAGTATTACAACGTTATATTTAAAAGTGTAGAAACATATGCTTCCAGAAAGCCTCTCTGTATTTTCACAGATCATCCTGCCTTTATAGGAATTTCTCTGTCTAGTTCTGATGGAAGCTATTTGCAGTAAGGTTTGTGGATTACACAGAGTAATGGGAAGTCTTTCCTGGAAAAAGACTGTGCTTTTATTTTTATGTTGTTTTTACAATTTCACGATGTTTTGAATGGCACCACAAATAAACCTTCGCTCGGACAAATCTGAAAGAGGACACGCATCCCTCAAATTTCCGTCTCGTACTCAGGGCTCATGGCCTTTTTACTCTAGTACAAAAATCCAAACATAGTTATAACGGCCTGATTAGAAGGCAGAACCATAATTTAATATGTGACAATTACAATAGAAGTTTTGACCCCTCCTTGAAGTTTAAATCAGATGAACTGCACTAGCTCTACACCTTCTATAGAAACTGTAGCGTCTGTGGTTCCCAGAAGTTAAAAATAGGTTTCATTCACTAAAACGATCATGTTCTGTGAGTTTGCTCTTCGATTAAACACTTCTGAACAGCTAAATACGGTGACTTCATTTTATTTGGGGTACTGGCCACATTCTCTTGCTCCTGGTGGGAATACTAATGATGAGCTGGAAAAAGGGCCAAACCTGCACTTTTGTGATGCTAATATGGGAAAACTAGAAAAAGCAACAACATCCTTTGAATGTGAGCAGCTTGGGAGAGACTATCCAGCCTTGAATGCACATTTTCTCAGTTTCTGCACAGTTGTCTGTGTATGCTTCACAGGGGCAGCCCTGTACTCATATTACTGCGTCTGCTAACTGGCATGTGGCGTAAACACATGACATTTACTGGAAATTATCATGACATTATACAGCATGGGAGGGAAACGATCTGGGGGCAGTTTTAATGAAAGGTTTACTGTAAAAAGGGACAGTTTCAACAGACATGTCAGGGTAGAAAGGCTATTTTTCTGCCTTTTTCATTCTTTATTCTTCTGAAGACATGATGTTTGTTTAGACAATGAAAGCAGTTGCTACGTCATATTAAAAGCAGTATTCCCACTTGACGCCACAGGATTAGTGCAATCTGTCTCTAAAGTTTCGGCTGTAATGTGTCGCAACAGTATGATTGTAATTGTTTGAGTAATTCATTCCAATGCAGTTTTTTTTATCCCAAACTTTTTCCGTCACACTGCTGGTGTCAGTGAAACAGTTCATTGCATTAACATGTTTATGTGCATTTATTGAAAAAAATGTAATCTTATGTCAGCATCTGAAATAGGACAGAGTTTTTTTTTAGCAAAAAAAAATCTGATTGAAGATTAAACAATACATTTCACAGCGAGTTTCCACAGTTGCCAGATAAAGTCAATGGGAATATAAATCACAGCAACAATAATGTAGCTAAATACCAACTAACCACAAAAAGCCTGATAGCAACACATTCTGTTTATCTGAATCAAAATTATCTTCTTCCTCCTATATCTCGTTGCTCGGCTGGTAGAGGCGGCGGCTCTGAGTTCTAGTCCGTAGATTCCACTCTACATTGTACAGCACGCGCTTAATGCTCAAGTACTGTAACACACACTAGCTTCTATCAGACATTAACTGTCAGCAGAATCTAAAAAAGTCACTTTTTCAAGATTTATTGCGTCATTTATAAGAATCTTCTGCCTGTACAGCAGATGGCCTTTTTTCACCGCAGCAAGTCCTGCATGGGCAGCCATGTGGCAAATTCATATGGTGTTATGTGTGTTGTGGGTTAGATTTCATTGCGTATTGTGTAAATATCCTCTTTTGCGTTTTAAAAATGTGCTGTTATAATGTGCTCTTTCCTGTGGCTATTACTCAGACGTTAGCCAGTAAGCACATTACCACTTCATTTTCTGAAAATGCGGCACGTTGTGGGCTAAAATACTGCATAAAGTGTAATTTCTGGTCGGCTGTTACGTGAAGCTAAAAGCAGAACTGAGAAACAACTAATGGTGACGATGACAGAAACAGACAGTGGAAGATTTAACAGCTGGATTATTGTCTGACACACTGAGGGCTTTGACCTCGTCTGACAGGAATTTAAGAAAGACGTATGGAAATATACAAACTCACTCACACATACATCTAGAACTATCGCATGACAACATGAGGAACACACTGATGTTCATTTGCAAACTCACATCCATCCATCCATTATCTATACACCACTTAATCCTCACTAGAGTAGTGGGGGACAACCAAGCACACTCACATTCACACCTACAGACAATTTAGAATTACCAATTAACCTCAGCATGTTTTTGGACTGTGTGGGAGGAAGCCGGAGAACCCAGAGAGAACCCACGCTGCACGGGGAGAACATGGAAACTCCACGCAGAAAGATCCCGGGTGTCCTCATCAGGATGTGAACCGGCGACCTTCTTGCTGCCAGGCAACCGTGCTAACCACCTCTCCACCTTGCAGTCCAGCTAATAACATATATTTACTAAAATCTTTATTTCATCGCTGGTGGAGGAAATATTCAAACATGTCAGAGAAGTAATACCACACTGGAGAAAAATCCAAGGTTTGGGTTGGAAATGTTATTTAAGTAGAAGTACAGAAGTATTTGCAGCAAAATGTATTTAATAATGTGGCCGCTCTAGCTTCACACTGCACCATGTTTCATCACATGTTTTGTAAATGCTTTAAGTAGCTAACTATAGCTGTCAAACAAAGTGGAGCAGATTTATTGTACCCTCCCTCTGAACTATGGTGGAACAGAAGTGGCATGAAATGGAAATACTCACATCATCTACAAGTAGTGCAAATGTGTACTTCAGCGCATCGACTCTCTGACTCGGTTCCAAAAATTTTAAAACCTGGTTTCAACATTTTTGGGCCCAAAAGTGTTACCAAAACAAAACCAAAAAAAAAAAGATATTTCCTTAATTTGCAGCCTGTAGTTAGTTCTGAGTTATTTTGCCTTTTTTGTCATGTGACTGTCAGTTGCAGCTGAGCAACAGTTGTGCCGAGAATCTTTTGTTCTTTGCAGTAACAGGTTCGAGCTACTGATTAATTTTTTGGCATTTTTGAAAAAATAAAACATGTAGAATTATAAATTTATATCATCATGTTTGATGATTTCAAGCTTCGTTTTTATTTATTTTCCCGACACAACTGTGCATTATACATTCGTAGTACAAAGACAGCAGAAAAGCTACAAATCAAAGCGTTGTTTCTGTTCTTACAGTTTCAGCCAAAATCAAAAATTAGGTGAGTTTTTAAAAATAACATGCCTCTGTGGTTTTGGGGTTCATGGGGTTAAAAAATAATCGGTATTGTACTGTACTAGGGTGTGGCTGATGGATTTGAATATTAATTTCAATAAAAATGAGTGGCTCCTCTGCTGTTTTTGCAAAGAAACACGAGAATAAATCTTTGTGGATTTTAAGATGCAGAATTTGAGAAATATTTCTGTTGGGTTCTGATCTTGACACTAAATTAAAAGACAAAGAACCTACCAACCTTCCACTGTGTCTTATATATAAAAGGGGTTTTACGGTGCAAATGCCATATAACTATCTATAGATCATTTGTCAGTCTCACACAACTTGCTTTTTGCTGGTAGTGTAACTGTGTGAGCTCTTGGCCAGAGATAAAAGCGAACAATGTGCTTCTCATCAAGCTTTTTATTCTGTGCTGGTGAGCCGAGGTCACACTCTAACCATTTCTCATAATAGCTGGTTGAATTCCACTGTAAATGACAAACAGCTAAACAAAGGATCCGTGTTACGCAATGCATCGTCTGGGGGTCACTATTCTCTACAAAATGCTTTTTTTTCTTTTTTTCTTTAACGGGTGTGTTTAATTTTCACCACAACATTTTATCTATTTAGAATATTTTAAGGAGTGCTGCCGAGGCGAGAGATGTGGCTTACACATTTCCCCCTCTACTACGCATCTACTCTCTTGTCTTCAACACCACAGAGGTTGTTTTTTTTCTCCTTGAGGTGGAAAGTCTGTGACCGTTTTTGCCGCTATCAAGTGTAATGCCATAACAATGGCTTTACTTTAGTCGTGCTATTTTGTCATTCATTCCTATTACATTAGTCCAATAGAGTAAAATAGGCTGTAGTATTTGACAATACATAGAGAGAAGTATTAAGTCTTGTTTTGTTTATCACTTGAATATTTGACCTTTACAGCAAGTGGGAGACATTGTGCTGAGTCATTAGCAAAACCTGGATTCTAGCTTTTTTAATATTTAGAGGTAAATATGCTGGATAAAGTTAGCTTGATGTTTTTCATATAATAGAAATATGTTATTCATTTAACACCACTTTACACAACACATATCATCGCTAACAGTTCACACCATATTGAGCCCTTATTGCCGTCAAACAACTGGTGTTTCTGGTTTAAATAGATTCTGATGTAGTGCGTTTGAAGTCTGAATCTATTTCCAGTGTGAGATCACCGGTTGCACTGAGCTGCAGTGTTGGCAGAGACGCATATCTAAAAACCTGTTGCCTCAAAGATGGAATATGTGCACAGCAATTGTCTAAAAATAAAAGTTACAAGACCCCACAAGAGCCGAGAAAGATTAGCGACACTGTTAAAGACTGGCCTCAAGTGACACAATAGCCATTGGAACGTTTTGTGGTATTTACACACAAGTACGCTTGCAGACTGCATCCTGTTTGCGAGCTGGACGACATGTTGCGTGCGTTTGTTATGTGTGTGTGTGTTTCTGTGGAAAGTATCAGCAATGCTTCAGTAGTGCTCGCTTCGACTGACAACAGAGCAGTAGGTTATCAGATCTACGACAGATTCACACACCGATACTGTACATTAATGTAAAATATACGTCATCGATCGGGATAATAGATTTCAGTTGTCACACAAGTAGAGCGCCAATGATAAATATGAGATTTAATAATTGAGACTAAACACTATTCTGCAGATCTAAGCTCTTCCAGACGTGGGCTACAGTTTCAGGCAGATGATTTCTTTGCTCACAGGATGATTTTACACACTTGTATGGGAGCGCAAACTGGTAAACAAACACTATGGGGATGAAAACACTGACATTTCAGAGCAAATGACACCTCCTTCTGTTCCTGCCGCTACAACTGAAAGTCTGCTGTCTTTCACCCGCAGGAGGAATTTGACCAAACTGTCCTTGCTGTTCAGTCACATGCTGTGGGAGCTAAAGGCCATGTTTCCGGAGGGCTGCTTTCAGGGTAGCACCTACAGGGTGACTAAGACAGAAGCGGCTGAGTTTTGGAAGCATTCGTTCGGCAGCGAGTGAGTGTGGGAAAAGAAAAAGTTTTTAATTCGATTTTTTTTTTGGTCTGCTTTGTGTGTGTCCAACCAAATGTTTGCGATGTGTTCCGACAGGTGCATAGTGCTGTGGAATAGGTTTAAAGAGCAGCTGCGAAGTGTGCATTCATTTGAGGAGGGGATGGAGTCCATGGCTCTGAAATCAACTGTTGATCTCACCTGTAATGATCACATCTCGATCTTTGAGTTTGACATCTTCACTAGATTGTTTCAGGTAAGAGGAGCATTTTAGGAATATTTTTATTGCCTGCTAGTTTAGCACAAAGACTGGACAAGGGGAAAACAGTTAGTTCTGTCTGAAAGTGAGAAAATACCCTTTAGCGGCAGATTAAGTGCCACACTATTTCTTCACTGGAACCAGAAACTTGGTGGAGTCTCCACTGCTTAGAAAACACAAAACAGGATGATGCCACTGTTTCTGACAACAACAAAAAAGTATTTATTATCAAATTTAAGGTCATCTCCTCTCCTCTCTTCTCCTCTCATTTCCTTTTTCAGCCCTGGAAGTCACTTATAAGGAACTGGAACCAGCTTGCAGTGACGCATCCAGGCTACATGGCCTTCCTCACCTATGACCAGGTTGTAGCTCGTCTGGAACACTACTTGCACAAACCTGGGAGGTGAGAATGAGAACAGCAAAAGCAAAGCTGATTACTTCAAACATATTCGAAAAAGCTGCGAAAACTCCAAACTTAATTTAGTACTTTTATGTTTACATTTAGCAACCCAGTTATTTTTTATTACTCGAACTAATTCCTATGTTAGATTCATTTATAAGACATTCTGTAGACGAACAAAAGGCTCAACGTGTCACACCGTGCTGTAGCATCGATATTATGGCAACAATTTGAGGAATTTAATTCAACTTTTGTGCACAAACAGATTTAAAAAAAGACCAAAAATGCTACTGACAAAATAAAAGAGTTTCCAGTGACTGAGCTTCATTGTCTACATTTATTTCAGTTTGATTCACGTAGTCTCTAATCTCTCCAGCTACATCTTTCGTCTGAGCTGCACAAGAATGGGCCAGTGGGCCATCGGCCACGTGACCATGGAAGGCGGCATCGTCCAGACCATTCCTCAGAACACACCTCTCTACCAGGCGCTCGTTCAAGGCTTCAAGGAGGGCTGGTTAGGACGAACACATGCAGTTTTCTCATGAATTTTATCTTTACTCGTGTGTTTTCTCTAAGTGCCGTGCGTTTGTGTGCCTGCAGCTACCTGTACCCGGATGGCCGTGACGTGAACCCCGACCTGACGAGCCTGTTTGAACCTGCCCACAGAGGCAAAGTCAAAGTCACAGAAGTAAGCAAGGGCACTTTACACCTGCTTCTCAATTTGCGAGTGGACTGCCAGCAGCACCTTGAAGCATTACTGAGACGAAACACAGAGCATATCCTGAGACGTTCTCTGTTCTGTCTTGTCTCTCTGACTAACCAACACCAAACAGGAACAGTATGAGCTTTACTGTGAGATCGGCAGCACCTTCCAGCTGTGTAAGATCTGCGCAGAGAGGGATAAAGACATTCGAATCCAACCCTGTGGGCATTTTCTGTGCCAACCCTGTCTCACCGGCTGGCAGGTATGAACCCCCATCCACTCACGGAAAGTTGCCGAATGTGTCTCCATCTAAAATGACAGACCCATCTTCAGCTACACTGTGCTGACACGCTGAACTGAGTCGGGCTGTTTCTGCAGCCGATGCTGTGTGCTCAGTGGAGTGAAGCTGTTTAGGTTGGCTAAACTGATTTATTTATGGTGATGGTTTGGGTGTTGGTCAGTGAACCACCACAGTGACAATGCTAGTTATTTGAATGTGGTCTAGACTTGATGTCAAAAATAAGCTTTGTGTTCTCATGCAAAAATCTTATTAAAATGTGGAATTGCCAGAAAAAATTAGTTGTGCAAAACGTTGCTAAAAAAAAAAAGAAAGAAGTGAACTATGAAGCAAGGCTAACTGTAGAAGATAACTCTGCCTTTATGAAGGTATGATTGTCATATCCCACTTCATTTTTTACTGAAGACATGGTATGTGTCAACCTTGCTGAAAGATTTTATGAATTGTGTTCTAACTCTACCGGTTTCTGAGGCCATGAAAGAAGCTGTGGAGCCACTCGCACACTGTCTGAAAATCAATTTTGTATCACATATGAGATCATGTAGTTTGATACACTGCTGAAAAAAAGACCTTAAAGCTCTTAAGGTGAAGCAATGGGATTCTGATCCAATACACCTTTTGTCAAATTCAAATCAGGTCGTGTGTGTGTGTGTGTGTGTGTGTGTGTGTGTGTGTGTGTGTGGGTGTGTGTGTGTGTGTGTGTCGTCTCAAGGCAGTTCACACTGTAAAGGAGCAATAGGAGTGCTATGGCATGATCCCCTCACACTGATTACAGATGCTGTCAGTATTTAACTGTCAATAGAGGAATACAGTCGGACTTGTAGCCTGTCCCAAATACAACACACATACATAATATCATATATATGGTGGTCTTTCAATAACATGATTACCTTTGACAAATTGTAGATGCCACAAAGATCCAAAAGTCTGTCAGCAAATCAACATTTAGTCGTCATGTGGACAGAATATCCTGCACATGCCTCATTTTTTACTCCTGCAGCGGGGCTTCCCCGACTTCCTACTTCCTGTTTAAAGCACAGAGTGACAGTTGAGATATCCAACCACGGCTGTCAAAGTTCGGATCCATGATCTGACGGCATCGCTCAGTCAGCCTGCCTCCTCCTTATACGCAGGAGGTGTTTGAGTCTTGCAAAGGTGCAAACCATGTCCTGACATTTGGCATAGGACTTCCTGTGTGAGCTCAGCCTCACATCCTCCTCAAATTGTATTGGCCACATTCACGTAGACAAAAAAAGTGTGCGTGTGAGAGTCTGAGAGAGAGAGAGATGAAAAGAAAACTAGATAAGCTTTGTGAATGTTAGACCACAATATAAAAGTTGTAGCTTAGTTTAGATTGTGGTCAAGCAAACTTCACCATTGACATTTGCACTGCAGTACAACTGCATTTGAATGTGTGGTGAAAATAATTCTTAAACTTTGAACTAAAATACGATTTCAAATATATTTGCACACAATTGCAGCAGAATTTGAAACACACCAGCTTAACAATGTGTTCTCCCCCAAGCAGTGTGAGGCACATAAAAGAGTTTTGAACAGGTGAAAATAATTGGCCTGTTCCGATATATACCGATATATCACTTATGTGCGAAACGAGATAATGATGTAGAAATGGAAACAATCTTAACAACCATGCCAATAACCTCAGTGGTCGCACATGTATGTGATATGTGGTTATCAGAGTGTGCAGAAACACAAAGCCCGTGCACTGCAGCAATAAAACCACAATCTGCAGCATTTGTTGAACACTTTTTCCACCTTCTTCATCTTCTGACAAACTAGTGACCTCTTTGAAGTCGAGTTCAACATATTCCGCTAGATATAGTTCAAGTGACGTGAAAGCTGCTCTCCTGACAAAAAGAGTAACAATGGGTCTTCCCATTCATAGAGTTTTTTTTCCATTACTCTGCCCATGACGGGTTTTTGATAATAATCTAGCAGAAGTCCGCTGGCCACACCTGCCCATACTGCCGCTGCGACATCAGAGGAACGGAGTCGGTCCTCATCGAGCCCTACCTGCCGGGCAGTTTGCAGTGGGAGGAGGGGGTTGACGATGACGGCGAGGAGGACGACCATGAGGACATTGAACTGATGATAAAGGAAATGGCTGCCTTGAAGAAGGTGCGTGAATTTCTTTCTAGAGTCACTTTTGCTTTCTTTAATTTTAGCCATGCAAGCAGATGGAAATGTCAGCCTGGTGTCCACCACATTGTTCCAGGCTGAAATAGCGCATCAGCCTTGGAATGGATTTCCATTAAACTTGTGGCCCCCAGATGAATAAACGTAATGACTTTAGTGATATCCTATTCTTTTCAATTAAGTGTTTCTCGCAGGCCAAAGTTTTTCATGTACTTGGTCAAATATCCATCTTCTTGAATGATTACCAGGAGATTTGGGGCTGACATTTCTGATTCCCAAATGATCCTGCAAACCTTTTTGATCACCGCATCATTAGGTCGAAATTCAATTTATCCTTTTGTCTTTGATTTATGAAAAACATAATACCTGGACTACCAATGACATTGTTTCGTAGCAACCACTAAATCTTTGAATGCTCTCTCTCAAAGCACCCTTGTGTGGAAATACAGCCTCCTAAAGTCACTGGTGTACACTCTTTTGTCATTGTTTGTCTCTCTCCGTTACCCCAGTACATGCTTGTTGCTTCATGACTTATCACAGATTTCTATATTAAAACCTTGCTACCTTTTTTAATCCTCTCCTGCCAAATGTTCACCACTTTCCGATTACTTTTTGTCCAACAGTTCTCAAGCTTGGAGTACCAGTTTCCCAGCTCTCACATCAGCGCTCCACCTCTGCCCCCTAAAAACAGCACAACCCCACGCTGTCCATCTCCCCACAGCCAGTATCACACATCTGAAACCAGCACGCCGGCCAAACACGCCCACTCTCGCTCTGTAAGTTTCCACAAACACTCGGGCTACTCGCACAATGTTGCCGTTTCGGCAGCTCGACGATGTGACATGTTGATTTCATCCAGTCCTTTAGACGCTAAAGTCTTAAGCAGTGCGATTCTACGCACAGCAGACTGGTCTAATGTTTTGTCAATATGTGTGCTAACTGACGCCCAGACACTCACTGTGGCCTGTTTCCTCTCATCTTGCAGGCTCACGGCAGCCATGAACCACGCAGGCACAAACAAGAAACAAAAAGGTGAGAACCTGCTTGATATAGAACAGTAAAGGAGAACAATTTCTGTTGTTCTCCACCTTGTATACTGCAAAGAATTTAAATTTGGCCACGCTATTCTTGCTACTGAAGTAAGTAATATAGTAGAAGTACAGTAGTATTTATTTTTATTTTTATTTTATTTTATTTTATTTTATTTTATTTTATTTTATTTTATTTTATTTTATTTTATTTTATTTTTATTTTTATTTTACTTTATTTTACTTTATTTTACTATTTTATTATAATTATTTCTTTTATTGTCTTTCTTTACTTGGCAAAAGCAAAACAAACAACAATAACAAAATATAAATAAATACAAAAACAACTGTAAAATTGTACATATGGAAATCTTTGTATTGTGTTCTTTTTTCCTGCTTTTTTTTTTACTTCTTATTTTTATTTTTATTTCATTTTTTTGTACATTCTTCTATAATTATTTATTTTGTGCTATATACTGTGATAAAACAATTTCCCTTGTGCATCAATAGAGGTTATCTCAGTCTAAGTCTAACAATCTCGACATTTTAACTTCATTTATATTGAGTTCCAGTTTTCTTTAAAATAAATAAGAAACCCAGTTTACCTCTGATAACTATGAAAAGACCGAACATGTCGTTTTGTAAATGGCACTAATTGTGCAGGTTTTCATGTTGAGTTGGTGTCATTTTGTACTGTAATATTCTTTTTGATAAGTAAATAAAAATCATTACTTTATGCCGTAGTCACACATTCATACATAGGACAACATCTATACATGAACTGCACTTCAAATCTTATAAAACATGCTTTTCCTTTTCCACTCAGGGGCCAGGGGAAGGCTGCATACAGCGAAGACGAAGACAGCTTTGGCCTGAGAGCGCACAGTCTGTCTCAAAGGTTTGATTGTCAGCTGTCAAGTTTTTCATCTGAGACTTTATGTATATAGTGTGGTAATGGACAGGAACTTTATTCTGTGATCCAGTTGTTCATGCATAGCAGCTCACTCACCTTTTTTTTTGCATTTCTGTTTCCAATTCTGTTTGACAGTGCTGAATACCTGAGAGAAGCACCGTTTCCTTCCTCTTCTCAGACGGCTGTCTCCAGTAAGTCATGGCATGTTATAACCTTGTGTCCTGAACTGTGTGCATGTCGAGTCAAAATGAAATTAGACTTTTCTCCAGCATTCAGAGGATCTGATCCTAAGAAATGTATCTCGTAAACCGCTGCTGTGCTTTTCCTATAGAAAGCCATGAAACAATCTCTCAATAGGTACAAATGAACAGCATATTTAAATCAACCAATAATGATGCCTGGACAGCTGGTAATGAAAGTATATAAAAATACTGAAATAGTATTTTCAAAACTGTGTGTTTCTTTTCATTCTGTTATACAAATGGAAGTGAATGGGGTTATTGGCTAATGAAATACACGAGGCTCTCCTGCAACAGGTGACTCCAGAGTAGGATTGGGTCCTTTATTGTCTGGAATTGTCTGATATGTTATCTTATTAAGCTTTACTTGTGTTCCTTCCTAAAATCTTTAAATGTCATTATGCAAAAGACATTCGTCAGATGTTCAACATATCAGAAAAACACAGGTGGAACATGTTAGTGGTGGCTTCGTTTCAGCAGTTGTTGTAATGCAGGACAGCAGGTGACACCCTTCTTGGATAAGTCAAGATTATTGTTCTGAAAAATCACTAATGCACTGTAGTTTCTATTTATATTCAAATCAATAACCCAAAATAGACCTTTTTCATGGCAGACATATGGAAACCGTACACATTAAACCCTCATATTTAAATGATGTCCCCTGGAAAGTGATTGAGGGCTTGCAATAGTATGAATTTGCACAATGGATCACATTACCTAGACCAGTGGTTCTCAAACTGGGGGTCGGGACCCCCATGGGAGTCCCAAGATAATTTCAGGGGGTCGCCACATCACTGTAAAAAAAAAAAAAATAAATAAAAATAAAGCGTACATTTATCAAATAAATTTGTATTAGGGCTGTCAAAATTAAAAGTGTATACTTCTTCCCGCTCCTTTTTCAGACTTGTTAATATTATGATTTGCTTATGCGATATTATTATTCTTTTTTTTAAAGCTCTTTCTTAAATTATTTTCTTTTGCTTTTAATTTTTTTCCCCCTTTCATTTGTTTGAAATAAATTCAATTCATTCATTTAAAAGAAAATTAACGTGTTAATGTAAAGAGATTAATCTGTGGAATTAACACATTAATTTTTAACAATAATGCATGAACAACAAAGTAATTACTCATGCCATATTAAAAATTCAAATTGAGAGGTAACGAACACAAACTTGTGTTATCTTGGGGGTCGTGGCTCAAAAAGTTTGAGAACCACTGACCTAGACGATGCTGTTGACATGTTTCATAGTATTGTTGGTTTGGGATATTACTATTATTTTACTTTCTGAAAAACTTCCTCCACAGCCAAAGCAAGTCATATATGGCTTTCAGCTCTAAACAGTTGTGGCTACGACTAGCTAGTGAGCTATGTGTTTATACTTAGATGCAAAGTTTCTTTTTGCAATGTTGGGCTTAGCTGCTCCTTCTATTCTCGTCAATTTTATTTACTTGTTTTATCCTTTTCTTATGTTTCCTGTGGTAACCCCCATGTTTAAACTCATAACACTATGAGGTGTGGGTGTAATTTCCTCACACAAAGTCTGCAGAACTGTGGACTCATAGAAAGTGTGCATAAAAGGCTCAAAATCTCTGCAAGAAAAGCTGTTGCAGACTTGACAATTTAAGAGTGTGACAGCCCTCACACATTTAGCATAAATGACTCTCAAAGTCTGAGTCCAGAAGTGCGCTCGCTGAGATTGGACCTTTGACTTGTCACAGCGGTCAAAGCCTAGAGGTGTTATTTTATTTTGTTATTCCACTTTGAGTAAGTTTTGCTTTTGTGCATGCTTGTTTTATTTGAACAGCTTACACTTAGTAGAGTTGAAGCCCCATTAATCCCACTTTCCTCCTGTGATAAACCAAAGTGTCTGCTGTGGGAGAAGGTCTATTAACTACTAATCTCATGCTGGAAGTCATTCGATCAGAGGAGTGTTATTGCTTATCACAAACTGAGTATTATCCAGTGTCCTTAATGTAGCATGACGTAGACTTTTGGACCGCTCATGTGAATTGTACCTTTTAGTACGACTTGTTTCTATGATTGTGCAGATGACGTAGCGTGGATCGGACCCTCCAGCCCGGTCAAAGAGAGAAGAAGACGTAAGGAGGAGGAAAGGAGAGCCGGGCTCAGAAAAGACAAATATGGCCTCGGAGAGATGACGAGAACAATGTCGTCCTGAGTTACAAACACAAAACTCTTCAACAAGTGAAATATAACGATGGTATTAAATATATTTGTTCAGGAAATCAGCCTTCAGTGGACATAAAAGAATAGTTTTTGCTCTCGTACTTAACTGTAAATGACCATGTGTCTCCTGCACTGCTGAAAATGAAAGGAGTGGGTGGGACTGAGAGAAAATGTGCCCACTGTGGCCTCCTGCAGTTCAATAATCACACTGCCATTATCATTACGGTGGTAGCTCAGGTACTAAACAGCATCTCTCACACTGTCCTTTTGAAAAATTAAAACAATTACAGAATCTCTTTTTAAAAGTAGAAAGACTTGACATGTTACAATGCAATACTGTGGACAGATGAAGTGGCCCAACCACATTCCTAGAATTAATTTATAAAACTATAGAAAATTCTACCTCATCAGTTAACATATTGCATGAATTTGTCCTTGTAAATATGTCCTGTGATTCCTGTACTGCTTTATCGAGCGGTCTTATATATATATATATCAAACAAATAAACATTCCTGAGCTTTAACTTTTGTGTGATGTTTTTTTTTTTTATGGACATCAAAGTGTGAACAGACGAATGAGAAGTGAATATTTACCAGGAGGTTTCATTTGTTTATTTCAATTTCTGGCACTTGTGTTAAGTCTGTATGTATGAGGGAGAAAAGCTGCAAAAGGGGACAAGAAATAATAATGGAGGTATCAATGAAAAGGCTGGGGGAAAAGTTAAGGGAAAATAAGAATTAGTGCTTATATACTACGAGGGAACCGAGGGTGATCGACTAGGGGACGGGAGGGGAAAAGATGAAACGTTTCCTCAGGGGTAAGCTGCCAGAGTGTCTTCAATCCAGTAGAGGAACTCGCACACTTTGACGTAGACGCCTGGGTAGTTGGGCTGAGCGCATCCCTGACCCCATGACACCAGGCCGTGCACTTCTCCAACACACACCAGAGGGCTGCCAGAGTCACCCTGGAAATCACAGAGAGAGCGAGTGTGAGCAAGCACACATTTCATCATTGCACACATGCCGAGGCGTGGGTAGAGTTTTGCTCTTCGTCGGAGTTTAAACTCCTGTAAAACGTACGTTGCATACGCCTCTGCCTCCGTCCATGTGTCCGGCACACATCATTCTGCGTGTGATCATGCCAGGATAGGCGTTCTCACAATCCTGATCATCCACGACGGGCACGTCCAAACACTGCAGACGGTAGGGCATGAACGAGTCTGTAACAACCAGAGATTCAGGAGACATGTATTTATATAGTCTAGCATTGAGAGCGTAATGAGCATTACACTATTAGCAACCCACCTTCGCCATCCGGGGCCATGTTTCCCCATCCAGACACAGAGCAAGGGAGTCCTCCCATTGGGCACCCGGTGGGCAATGGGATGGGTGCTACTGTCTCGGTCACCTCCACAGGGTGGAAGAGCTTGATCAGCATGATATCAAAATCAAGAGTCTGGTAGTCGTAACTGCAAACAGAGAAATGTAAGTTTAATGTAAGTAACTAATCATATAATCATTAGATTGTGCAAAGGGAACAACATTTTCAGACAGGATGGATCCATTTTAGACTCACTCAGGGTGCCAGATAATGGTATCAGTCTTCATGAGCTGCTCTGTGCCCTCAAACACTCGCACATCATGTTCTCCCAGCATGATCTGCATGGCATAGGGGCTGAGAGAAGAAACAAAATAAACTCAAAACATTTAGCAAGCAGGAAAAAAAATACACAATTACATCCATCCATCCATTATCTATACACCGCTTAATCCTCACTAGGGTCATGGGGGGCTGGAGTCTATCCCAGCCGACTCAGGGTGAAGGCAGGGGACACCCTGGACAGGTCACCAGTCTATCACAGGGCTACACTTAGAGACAGAGACTCACATTCACACCTACAGACAATTTAGAATCACCAATTAACCTTAACATGTTTTTGGACTGTGTGGGAGGAAGCTGGAGAACCCAGAGCGAACCCACGCTGCACGGGGAGAACATGCAAACTCCACGCAGAAAGATCCCAGGTGTCCTCACCAGGACGCGAACCGGCGACCTTCTTGCTGCAAGGCAACAGTGCTAACCACCACACCAGCTTGTAGCCCACAATTACATTACTTTATTTATTTATTATTATTATTAGTAGTAGTAGTAATAGTAGTAGTAGTAGTAGTCGTAGTCGTAGTAGTAATAGTAGTAGTAGTAGTCGTCTTAGTAGTAGCAGTAGTAGTAGTAGTAGCAGTAGTAGTAGTAGTAGCAGTAGTAGTAGTAGTAGTACCAACCAAACAATCAGTCTCATGTTCTTCATGCTATTTCAGACCAAACAGATGTCCTTTACATGTGGTCCCAGACTATAAAGCATCCGTCTTCTATCAACAGATGCTTTTTTTTTTAACCTTAAATGAACTTATACATTAAATCAAGCAAGATTATTAACAAAGAATATGAAATACCTCTGCAGAAAGACGGAACAATGTATATGTTATTTGAAAGCAAGCCTTATCCCATCAGTTGCATACTTACTTGTACCAACAGTGGGCAACAGAGAGCACCCACTGCCTGTTGATGAGCACACCACCACAAAAGTGGTAGCCATAGTTGAGGGAGGCCATGTATGGACGAGAGTTAGGCTCACACTCCTGCCCACCAATGATCCTGCCATTTTCACGGGGAACTGCCACTTCAAGAAAGATAAGAAGAGGTCAATATTAAGAATGTGTTTCAAACTTAACCACAGCGTTCCATCACATTTTTAAGATCTTTGACTTTACAGCAGTGTCTTCTAGTGTGTATGTAAGCATATGTATATTTGCATCCTGCTCCCTGTGTGTGTTTTCTGTGTCTTTACCCGCAGCTCCAACCGTCAGCAGCAGAGCCAGAAGTCTCATAGTGTCTGGTGGATGATCAGAAAACACCTGGACATGACCCGGTTCATATTTATATCCCACCAACCTGCTCTGCTCAGCCTATTCCACCCTCCCCTCGCTCGTTTTTCTTGATTCCGTTCGAGCGTTCACACTACATTCATACCCCTTGACACCATGTGAAAACTATTCCCTTATCAAGCCTGCCCTCAATTTTTTTATTTGTCCCCTTCTGGCCCCATCACAGCACACCCCCTGAGGTTATGTCATCTATGCAGTCTGTCAAGGTTTCCACACATTTATCACCTGCTTGTGATTCCCCTTATAGGTCAATCATTATTGGCTACAGCATGCAAACAGTGAGGATAATAAAACAATATTCTCTCAGGCATACGAACAAAAAGAGGCTAATTTCAGCAGCAGATTGCCGTCAAAACATCTTGTGACCTAATTTTAGCAAAAGAAATTTAAAAAAACAAGATACGTGACTGTGCTGTTGTTTTCCTGTCTTGTCGCTTGCCCTTGAATAAAAGCCAAAGAAGGTGAGAAAGAAACCATCTGCGGTCTCAGACGCAGAAAAATAAAGCGACATGCTGCGTGTGCAGTTTTCCTATTTTTGTGTCAGACAATTATTAATAGTCTTTCAGCTCAAACAAATGTGTTGAATCATTATGCTTTTTCGAATTCTACTCATATCTAATAACGTAATATGACTTGTTTTAGTCATGCTGTACTGTGGTTTTTGCTTTAAAAATAAAAAAAAAGAGTCACATGTATATCATCAGTGTTTGTGATATTTCTTTGGTATTCCTTCGAACCGCCTCTTCGAAGACTTTCTCTCTTTTGCCTTTCTGCATCTGACACCAAAGCAAATACAAAATATGTTAAGATAAAATATCAAAAAACAAAAAAAAAGCCCAGAGTTGCATTTTAAGGCAGGGATGAGGGCGGGAGGAATGGACAGGAGTGTCAAGGTGAGTGGGAAGGTGTGCAGGGGGGAGGGATACATGGAAGGTCACAGACAAGCTATAAATGCAGTCAATAAGTCATTCACACCTAGTCAGGTTGTGGGACGCTTTAAGTCAGCCACAAGATGATTGGCCTGATTGTTTTTGTGTTCCTGGGTGCTGCAGGTATAGAACATCTGCAGTGTGTACAAAGGTTTTAGTATATTAAAAAAAAGAATTTTAACTATGAAAACTATACGCATTTTTGTGTTTTCTTTGTGCCGCAGCTGCAGCCCCTTTGGATGACAAGATTGTGGGAGGCTACGAGTGTTCCCGTCACTCTCAACCCTGGCAGGTGTCTATCAATATCGGCTACCACTTCTGCGGCGGCTCCCTCATTAACGACCAGTGGGTCGTCTCTGCTGCTCACTGCTGGCAAAAGTTTGTATTACTTTCTTGAATTCAAACTATCTGAATGAACTGTCTGGTGTAAGAGAGCTATAACCATTTCATATCTTTTCCAGCCCCTATATACTGCTGGCCATCTTGGGTGACCACCACATCTGGGAATTCGAGGGCACAGAACAATACATGTCAGTGGATGCCATCTACTGGCATGAGAGTTATGATTACCAGACCCTAGACTATGACATCATGTTGATGAAACTGGCGCATCCTGTCACTTTTAACGACTATGTCAAACCTGTCGCCCTGCCCAAAGCCTGCCCCACACCTGGGGACATGTGCATGGTCTCTGGATGGGGGAACATCTACACTGATCAAGGTGAGGTGCTACATCTTTTCAAATACAGTCGACGTCAAATGTATTCACCAGTGGCGGCTGACCAGATAAAAAGTAGTTCTCAAACACAATATTAAATTCGAATTAATTATAACTACATAATAATACAATTAATAATAACGTTTATATTATTTTGCCATATTAACAATATCTGTATTATTAACAGATTCAAAATAAGTCTTCACTGCGTGTTCACTAGTTTAACACTTCCTGGATGCGGGGCGCGGCCACATGAGTGTGTATGTAGCTCGAAAAACTTTTCGTGATCATGTGACCTCAGCCCGGGCTCTGATTGGCAGCTGCAGACTTTCTCACGGGGCACAGCTCGGTGCGTCCCAGACCCGTCCACTTTTGCTGTAAGCAATTAATTTTGTCTTTATTTGCGTTTGTCTTCTGTGGTTGGAAATCAAAACTATCCTTTGACATTCTTACGACTGTGTTTTAAATACATATCTAACACCGTCACACGGCCTTTCCCGTGTGTCCCCTGAATTGATGAACGTGATGGTCATGAAGCTGCATGAGTGTCGCTGTAGCTGCCACAGGAAGCTGCTGTGTTAGCCACAGTGGTGGAAAGTAGGACCTTTATGACTTAGGGTGTACTGCGGTATTTACACCTAAAAATGAGGTCATGGAAAACAGAGCGCACGTAGAAAAGACTGTGTGTAGAATACATATAACTCAGTTTAACCTCGGACAAATTAGAACGCCCTAGTTTATTATTTTTAAACACATTTTTGGTCACACACCTGTCTGGTCACACCACAGCCACCAACAGCATCTACCACAGCCTGCTATGTGGGGCGTTCAGGGAGCATCAGTAATTTGTAGTGTCTATCGATAAGAAAATGTTCAGAAAGTCGTATGTTTTGCCTTTGACCAGGTGGGAGGTGCTACCAGTGAAAAAGTGATGATAAAAATATCCTCCAAAGGTAGAACATTTGCATTCCTGTAAATAGCTGTGCCTGATGTTACTCATATTGTCATTTCTGATTTTGATTCATACCCTTCCATTGAAGAAAAGGCAAAATTCACAAAAGTCACTCAAATAACTAGAGACTGAAAAAAGTAATAATAAATAAAAAATGTGCTTAATTATAATTTAGTGAAACAAGACATTGCTTTCGAATTGTGGTCGAAATGAATCATTTAAAAAAACAAATAAAACTGTACCAGACAAATTAGAGCACTTTGCTGATGAGCAGTGAACCAAAACACCTGTCAACAGGTGCAGAAGTCTAACTGAGAGTTACAGAAAACACTTGATAGCAGTGATTGGCTCAAAGGGTTGTTCAACAAAATATTAGTTTACGGGTCCCTTCATGCTTGTTTGTTTTTTGGTGTTTGGTTTGGGTTTTTTAATATTTCTGTTGAACCTCAATTCAAAAGCAATGTCATGATTTTCATTACATTTTTTATTTTTAATTACTTTTGTCAATTTCAACTTATTTCAGTGACAGCTGGTTTTTCCTTCTATAATGGGAGGGTATGAATACATTTGAGGACGACTGTAAATACTAAACATTTTCCCACTTCTTCAGCCAAAGAGATATGTTAGGATCACAGAAAGAAAGAAATTGTCCCAAATTATGACACTCATGTCCACAGATTGAACACATGAACACATTTTAACAAAAGCCTTTGAGTGCTGACATACATTCATTTGTCAGCAGTTGTTGTGCTCTAAAACTGCATTTACTACAGTTTTTTGTTTGTTTGTTTTTGCACAAGACATATTCTTTTTTTTTTTAATGAATGACTGAAGCTATTGTTAGCTTTACCAGACTCACTCTTTTTGCACAATCATGCATGTTCATGTGAGTGGATCTTCACCTTGATGGGAAACCTTTTGTGTTGACTCAATAATCCTTTAACAACAATTACAGCATCCATTTATCACTATTTTGAGAAACCAGTTGTGGCTGCCATGCAAAAGTGACATTGTAGAGATCTATAGGGACTCTCTGAGACGCTCACTTAAGGTAAAATGTTAATGATGCTGCTCTGCACTAATTTTGTTTTTTCTTTCTTGCTCTTATCTGCAGTGTTCAACCCATTTAACCTTCAGTGTGTTGAAGTCCCCATTCTGTCCCACAAAGAATGTGATAGCTCCTACCCCGGCCAGATCACCGACCGCATGGTGTGTGCTGGATACCTGGAGGGAGGCAAGGATGCTTGTCAGGTATTTCTACACAATTACACAGCTCAAGGAAAATTAGTGGTCTGTGAAAGTGTTCAAAATATTTAATGAGACGAAGGAATGAATGAACCCTTCCATTTTTTCCTCTTCCTCTCTCCTGCCCAGGGTGACTCTGGTGGCCCTCTTGTGTGTAATGACGAGCTGCAGGGAATTGTCTCTTGGGGCCAGGGCTGTGCTCAGCCTAACTACCCCGGCGTCTACACCAAAGTCTGTTCTGTGCTGCCCTGGATCGAGTACATTCTTGGCGCATACAGCTAGACTGTGATCTCCTATCAGAGAACGACATGAGAGAGGGGGAACCAGAGAGAGAGAGAGAGACTGAAATTGAAGGAGACAGCGACAGGAGGTGGTTGTGGGTAGTGTCTGTCAGAAAGACAAAAAAAAAAAAAAAAAAACAGCAGGAGAAGAGATAAGAGAGAGCCACAAGGAAAACTAGAGAGAGAGAGAGAAATGTAAGAAGTGAAGGCACGATCAATAAAATCTACAATGTTGTGATGCATCAATGTGTGTGTAAGTGTTTGCAGTATTGTTGCTGCTCTTAGCAATTTCCTGAATATATCAAATTTCTGATATCTTCACTAAAACATACTACATGTCAGTGGACTACAATAATCCATGACAGTGCATTAGTCTGCAAACAAATCCAACACATTGTGTCTGAATAAGGGTTTTCTTTGACTGATATCACCAAACAATCACTCCAGAAGAGTTTCTTAAAAGTTAGATAAACAAATTGCTGCTTTAATCTGCAGCGGCTGCATGATGTTTAGTATTCAAGAGCTGCATGTATAGTATTAGGCTTTTGCCAGTATTTTACCTTTGTTGGAGAACACAGACACTGGGCCATTTTGATTTTCTGTCTGTTCAGTACAAAATGCATTAGACACTTGGAAAGCAAGGGCACAGATATTGCAACATCCCATTTATCACTGTCAGTACACTACGTAAGTTGGAAAAGGAGTTAGACTTACACTGAAATCTGTCCACTGAGTTCCATTAAAAATCTCCGTCCTAATTCCCGTCTTTAACAAAAATCTGGTGGCAGAAACACTTGCAGGAAAATGTTAGTTAAATATTCAGAGAAAGGTCCCCCTTGTAATCTGTCGAGGGTTTTGCCGCTTGAGAGTCATGTGATTGACATGTTGTTCCTTCCGTTTTTACATACGACAAAAAAAAACTGATTGTCTTTCCCTTTATTCCTGCGGCTCTTAAATGAGCACGTTTTAAAGAGTTGCATTTTATAAAGCACATGTTGTGTGTTTTGGGATTCTTTTAGTTGGGTTTCGTTTTTGATCATAAGGACCTTCCCAAACCTGACACTGTTTGGAACACGTGTGAGAGATATAGTTTCCTAATCTGATAAATGAATGGATTTACATAATACAGTCGTGACTCAATAATCCGGCACTAAATGTAAAACCTTCTTTTATGTCGGATTGTCAAGACGGAGGTCAAGACACAAGGAGGGCTTGATGCTTGAAGGGTCATTTGTTGTTAATATTCATTGTTCATAGTTGTTATAACAACCAGTAGGACTGGTCCGAACAGCACTTTCTGGTCTCTGGATATTCAGACCCAATTAATGATGAATATGTCACGGTTTTGCCAAACATAGGCTCGAATGCAAACAAATGACTCGACCACCAAGCAGTTGAAATAAATGAATATTTATTCACAAATACAAATGTGAATGTGAACCAAAGTATCAAACTAACCAGCAATATAAACTACCGCTAACGAATACTTACTATAGGGGAATTTACTAAAACATCCTCTAAAGGACAACGAACTAAATTTACAAATTAATGATCAAACCTAAAACTACTTCTAATGGTTGAGTAGACGAGAGATAGGGTAAACTACAAGACCGAATGCAAGGGAGGGGGAGCCGGAGGAGCCGGAGGTGGACCAGATGACTTCAGCGGAGGGACATGGAGGATATGGAAAGCTGGAGCCAGAAGAATCCAATGGTGAGGAGTCAGGGATGAATAGCGGATCACAAAGGCAGCGAGCGTGACAAAAGTGGGTTTTACAACAATCTGGTGTCAACTTGTGGCTTGCTGGCGTCTTAAATACAGGATGCAGGTCTGAGAGTGAATGGCAAGCCACGCCTTGCCGCAGCTGGAGCAATTGGCTGATTGTGATTCAGGACACCTGGTCACCGTCCCTCTGGCTTGATGCACAGAAAAAAATACCAAAAATGCTCCACTAGGTGGCGCCAAAGGCGGAGGTCATGTCAGAATATCCGAATATTCGGCACAGTCGGGGGACCACTTTCTGTCACCAAACGTGTCATCTCTGGACGTAGCATGACAGCCTTGCTTTTCATCAAGTGTGTTGGCCCTCCATTGAAAGTGTTCAAACCAGATGTCTATGTCAGGTCTTGGCTTCAAAGCCATTGTCTAGCTAATGATCCAAAAGCAAGAGCCTGGAAAATTTATTACAAAAAACATGATTATGAAAATCTTTGGAAACTTCTGTGAGTTAGGGGAGAACTGGGTAGGCAGCTAGTGAAAAAAACGAAAAATTAACCAATTTAACTTTCCCAATTTGGCCTATGAAGCCAACCAACCCAAAGTTAAAAAAAATCTCAGGTGTTGGTGTATTTTTGTAAATCTTTGATATTAATTTTCAAATTTTGCAAATTCTTTCAACGAGTTCATTCAATTTTTTTGCATTTGAATGAAACTGAACTTGACCTGACTTGAGAGGATTCAGTTTCATTTGCAGTTTTTGTGAGGTTTTGTTTCACACTTCAGTAGATGAATTACCAAATGATCTCAAAGTACCATGAGTAGGAAATTGCACTTGAACCCAGTAAGAAAAGTGGTCCTCTGCATTTACTTCTTACTGCGTAGGAGCAGTGATAGCAATGCCAGCCTGGGGACTGACTCCAATTCTGAGGTATGTTGGTCAAGATCACTTACAGGAGAATCTGACATATAACATCCATGCCATATATGTTGTTTTAGGATAGTGAAATAATGATCTTTGAGCTTTAACAAAAATTTTTAAAAAGGGTATTGTTTCATATCATATGCACTGTCGTCAATATCCATCCCAAAAAATAAAATCCCCATCCCCAATACCATCCCCCCTAAAATTTTTTTACAACTCGACTACTGCGGCTCAGTGCACTTTCGTTACCTGATCGACTGCAGATTTTGTTGAATACTTCGAGGATGCGGTCAACAGAAAGATTCCCCCCAAGCTCATCCTACGCCATGCTGCAGGCCCGACACACACACACACACACACACACACACACACACAGACTAAGGTGAGCACGCACTAAAACCACTCCCATCTTCGTGTGCAAAGTGCGTGCACATACACACACACAGCCCATTCACAAAAACCAGGGAAACCCACTTGCCCCCTGTATGGCTCCTACAGCAAGGTTTGTTAAGGGTTGGATCATCGAGTCACGACTGTATAACAAAATATAATGTTATAATTTAGGTTATAATAACACAGCAATGTGCCGACGTAAATTTTATTTCAGTAAAAGGCATGCACAATATTTGTACATAGAATAAATAAAAATCAAATGACAATTATTTAACAATATCTTAAGGAGTCGTTACATCCATACAGTCTTACGGTTACAACTGGTCGTTTGAGGGAAAACATAACGCTGATGTGGCCCGTGATGAAAATGAGTTTGACACCCCTGGTTTAGAACGATATCCATTCAGAAGAATGGCGTTTGTAGGGTTTAAATATGTGACAGCTCTAAAACTTTGGTGGTAAAGAATAATTCGTAACAAAAGTGCTTTTTATTGGAGGGAAAAAAGTGTAAAAAAAAAAAAATCCAAAGAAAGAAGTTGATGTCTGCTATATTTTTTGACAGTATCCTACCTGAAGGTTTAAAAACATCATGATGCTTAAAGATACAGCAATTATGCTTACTCTTCAGCAAGAAAAGAGCAATGTCATGTTTGCTGCAAATTGTCTTGTGTTCATGTCAGTTGAAAACGTGCCTTCAGCAGTCAGTCATGGTGAAGCCACGACACGTGTCTAGTTTGACTCATTTGCAGCAAGCAGTTGAACCTCTCGAATCAATCGATGGGCAGAGCAGAAATATCTCCCATCTGTTCTCCACAGACAGCAAAGACTGCAGCTCATCCATCGCTCTCTATAGGCTGTAGGATACAGAACGAGATGAGATGATTAAATGGAATATGACAGCAAGACAGATTAGTAAATGAGTGGCAATATGTAAAATTTAAAATCATTTTGCATATCCATTCATAATTAATTTATTCATAACTCAAACACAGGGAAATGAAATGGAATTATTAATTGCCAACAACCACAGAGAACATCCATCTTTTAAGTACTTGTGAGACTTCTGGTGTATGATACAGGGGTAGCAGCAAATCATTCACCGGTCCTCTGAGCTGAAGGGCAAATTTCTCAAAAGATCAGCCAAAGACAGTGGGAAAAAAAAAAAAATTCAACACTGACTGGAAAAATGAGAAAACTGAAGAATCAATGATTAAATACCACTGTGGATGTGAACAATTCATGGAGTGGAGAACAATACGCTTCAGACAAGAATAAACATCATGTGTGAGACAGTGTTGCTTTGGAAACGGCACAATAGTGGCAGAAACATTTGTCTCCATCATTTCAACTTCTATGACAGGTTCTATTGTCATAATTTTGTAGTTAAGCAGCACGATCTTCACATAATCAAACAAGAATATTAAAGAAATTGTTTGGATTCGAATCTAATCATTGTGTTTTAAGTAAAATGCAATTTTATTATTAAATGGAGTGCAATGGTGTCGTGAACTGACTGTGAACAGAACAGGCGCAACACAGAAAGAGTTCAGGCAAAAGGCAGGTTTATTAACAGGCAGGGGTCGGTAACAGGTGGTCAATCCAAACAGGCAGAGACATCTAAAAACAGCAGGCAAAAGGCAAGGTTGAAGGCAGAAAAACGAGGTCGTAACAAGGCAGACTGTGACTACGATAACGCTGGGACGAAGACCGTGAAGTGCAACGAGCCTGTGAGACACACAAGGTAATGTCCATGAGGTAATGGGGGGGGGGTGGAAAACAGGTGAGGGAACGCCATTAGGGAGCAGGTGTGACGAGACAGGTGCAGGAAGTAACTCGGACAGAGACAAGTGATTTCAAATTAAAACAGGAAAGACAAGATGTAAAATGTGCACACATGAACAGGAACTTGACAGACATGACAAATGGTTAGTTTGGAATTATTTGGTTGTTTTGAACACTACAGTCATCTATAAATGAAAAGAAAACAAGCTTATATTATTTTTTTTTTCTTTTTAAATGTGAAAAATAAATAAATAAAACATTACCCAGAGAATACTTTGGACTCTGTTTAATCCGGTGCACAGATGGAACATAAAGAGAAAATCATGTTAAGCTGCTCCACTGAACTGGCCTTGCTGCGCCTCCTCGCTAATTTGAGGATGCAGACTTAAAAATGAAGAAGGCCAGCGTTGAAGCAGCTAGTCAGTGTGTT